TTCAAGCTGTGTGAGATGGCAATAGCAATAGCAATTGGGGTAAACAAGAAGGTAATCAAAAACCTTAAAAAAGAAAAACAAAACAAACAAAAAAAAACTGAGGAAGGAGATGCCCACAGGAGGCTTTGAAAAGCCCCAACATATTCTTGGACATAGAGGAGTCATACACCTGTACAGAGCTGCACACATGCTGAGGAAATGCCTGAGAAGGCCTTTACCTCTCACCCTTGGCTGACCCTGAGTCTCCGAGCAAGGAGGAAAAGAAGGCTAAGGCAGAGCTGCAAACTGCTTACCAGGTTGCTGAAAGTATCCTTAAACACACACACACACACATAAAGAGCCCCTTGGCAAAGGCTGGGATACTTATTGGTTTAAGGCATTTAAAAACAAAACAAAACAAAACAAAACCTGCTAGTCATTTGCTCAACTCCAAAATATATTAAGAGAAACACATCACAAGCTGTCAAAAGCTAAAGAAAAAGTGAGAATCCTGAATAAATCAAGAAGAATATGACTCATCAAAAGACATGCCCAGTAAGATTAAGAGAGCTGACTTTTCATCAGAAAGCATGGGGGTAGAACAGCCCGGGTGGCTCAGTGGTTTAGCGCCACCTTCAGCCCAGGGCGTGATCCTGGAGACCAGGGATGGAGTCCCACGTTGGGCTCCTGCATGGAGCCTGCTTCTCTCTGTGTGTCTATCATGAATAAATAAATAAAATCTTAAAAAAAAAAAAAAAAAGAAAGCAAGCAAGCATGGGGGACCAAAATGTTAAAAGGAAGATTGTCAACCAAGAATTCTATATCCCACAAAATTAGCCTTCAAAATTAAAGAGAAATTAAAACATCACCATATAAACAAAAACTGAGAGAATGTGTTGCTATCCAACCTTCCCTACAAGATAAACTGTAGTTAGAGACTTTAATACTTCCTCCTCATTAATGGATAGAACGAGGAAAAAGGTCAACAAGGAAATAAAAGACTTGAGCGACACTACAAACTAACAAAACCTAACAGATATCTATAAAACATCTATAGAGATTAATTTAGTAATCAAAAAAACTTCCACAAAGTCCAAGCCTAAATAACTGCGCTGATGAATTCTACAAGGTCTTCCAAAAACAGAAATGAAAGAAACACTTCCCTATTCAATATATATGATCATCATACCAAAAACACATAAAAAGCCATCTCAAGAAAAGAAAATTATAGACTAACACTTATTATGAATATATACACAAAAATCCTCAACACAATACTAGCAAATTGAATGCAGCAACACATAAAAGGATTATATACCATGACCAGTACAATGTATCCAAGAAATGCAAAGGCGGTTCAACAAATGTAAATCAGTCAATGTCATATACCATGTTAAGAGAATAAAGGCAAAAAAAAAAAAAGATTATCTCAATAGTCACAGAAATAGCATTTGACAAACTCCCAACACTCTTTCATGACAAAAACACTCAACAAAATATGAATAGAAGGGAAAATCCTCAATTGAGAATCATGGCATGGGCACTGGAAGCACTCAGGATTGCAGCAAAGCTTAAGATGAGGAGGAAAGGGTAAAGATTTTTGTCAGCATGGGTTAGGGGCCATAAGGAGGATTTGACTCAGCCAAATACCCTACATCTCAAAGGAAAGAGACTAAAGAATACTACAATTAGAAGCAAATAAGGAGTGAAGACAAAGACCTCACCTCTAAACAGTAAGCTACTAGATTGATTGGAAAATAAGAATCCTTCACATAAAAATACTACTGGGGGAATTAGTACATTTAGGAAAGTTAGATTTCAGCTACAATCTGTAGGCAGAGGTCAAGAATGCGATTTTTTTAGGATGTGAGAGAATTCCATATAGCATAGTGGAAGGTATAGAAAAAGAATGAGGTTGGGGAGAGAGAGGAGTGAAAGCTTAGGGCAGATGAAAAGAGAGCATAGTATTATGATTAAAAAAAATATAAAGGAAACTGGTTCTGAACTACCAGTCCTCTGAAATATGAGTAAGACATATTTCTATAATTAAAAAAAAAAAGACAATGATGAGAAGTAAAGGACAGAAAGGGAACTTATACTCAAGAAGTCACAGAATGGGAAAGAGATACTTTTGCATATGTAATGTTAAAAAGGTTCTGGGGTTAGTGCATCCAGATTTTTAAAAATCAAGGCATGGAGAGAAAAGAATAGTTTTAAGGTATACTGGAGAGTAATGCTTGTCTTAAATGGGGTTTCTCTCTGTACCACCCAACCCATAACTAGCTCTAGGGGATCTAGAAGTCCCAAACCCAGATGGCCATCCTAAAGGGCCATCCCCCCCGAAGGGACCAATAAACTGGTTAACCTATAACTATTCATGATGAACCAGTGCCCAATTGTTGAAAAGTTCTCCATTGGGTCAAATGACCAACCCCCAAGAATATGATGCATCTCTCTCTCCTCCCTAAGAATCACCAGTGTGGAAGATCCACAAATCACTAGTCCTGCAAACTACACTGTCTAAAAGGGATCTGTGGTCCTATGTTTTGTGAAATGGCTATATATTCTATCTTTTATTACATTTTGCAAAATAGTAGTACTATATTTACATCTTAAAGGCAATGAAAAGCCCACTATTAAAAAACTCATTTAACATTAATTTGTTTATTCCTATACTATTTGATCAGATAATTGCTCTTCTATACCTATTAACATCCAAGAATATGGTTTTTGGAAAGTGTTCTTTAACTTTTCTGAAGGATGACTCAGTCTCAGCTTTATTATTCCCAGGGACAGAGATTACTACCTCCATCCAGGTAATTCATCCATTTGGGGCAGTCTGATTTATTGTTCCATTTCAGGCTGAAATTTGCTATTCTATCTTAAAATAGAGACTTTTGCTGTTAAGAGTTAAAGATCACATCTATTCAATCCTCCAAATGACCTGGCAATCCAGCTATGAACTCAGTTCACTGAAAATGCCAAAGTACAGATACATGGTTTTGCACATGCTATTTTTTCCATCAAAATACTCATCCTTCTCCTATAGAAACTACTCCTCTGCAATCTCTACAGTCATACTTACCTGTTCAATAGTAACTTCCTTTACATACCAGTACCCTAGACGAACATCAGATGTTGCATGCTTCTGGAATCTATATAAATCACTTTACTAAGGCACCTATCAACACTGTACTGCACTAATACTGCAATATAACTGCCTACATACCTGCGTCTCCCACAGACTCAACATCCAAGAGGTATTTACTATTCAACTGTGGATGGGATGGAAGAGGCAAATCAATCTTCTACATACCCAATAACTGCAATGAAGCCAAGTGAGCTCATGCATTTTTAGCATCCTCAGAACAATGCTCTAAGAAGCCATTACCAATCCACAGTTATCACCTCTCACACTATCTCCAAATTCATCCCAGCTTGAGAATTAAGCACAGAGTTGAACATACAGGTTCTCAATGAATAACTGTTAAATGGATGAATAAATCTTATCATAAGTATAAGCAATGGCTCACATTTTAGTTAGGCTTCTAATTTTTCATAAGTTGGCCTTAAATTTACCTTCTATAAACCAACCATCAAAGATGAGAGAAGCATAATCTTCATTATTTGCAATCACGACTATCTACATCATATTCTTGCCTGATAATAAGAACTCTCCAATGTCCATTCCTTATCAAAATCCCAGCTATAAAAAACAAAAGCCAAAATAATGTCTAGAAAAATATATTCTCCATGTATTCTTCTAGATCTTCTATATTTTATCCTCACACCAAATTATACCAACGTAAGTATCTTTAGTTAAACCTCATTATTTTGTGACCCACTGCAGCACCGCCTTTTCTCACCTAGTGTAGAGATCTTTGTAGCTTGCACTAAAGAACATAAGTAAAAAACAGACTTGAAGAATTTGTCATTATTTCTACTTTGGGAAGCTGAGACCTGTCCACTATATCACAAAGCATCCCCCTTTTAAGAACTCATGCAAAGCAACTTCTTTCAGGTTTCTGTCTCATTAAAGCAAATCAATTCAGGAGAAACACATCCTTTATCTCATGTATAGTATAAATCTTGTAATGGATCAAGATTTGGTCTTTGTTTTTGCTTCAATGAGTCTTAGAGCCAATTTTTTTTTCTCACTTCAAGAACTATATGGGGTTATATATTTCCCTTCTATTGTTTCTTTATCCAATTTTATTATCTGTATTGTACCTATGTCTCAAAATGACCTCAAATCCCCAGTGAAATGAGATGAGGAAGTGAAAAGGAAGAAAATTAATAACTATCACCACTGGGTGCACACTCTAAGCCATATACTGCTCAAGTACTTGTGTCCCTTACCCTTGAACGCTGAGAGAAAGGTATTATTAATTATGTTTTACAGGTGGAAACTGAGGTAGAGAAGGTTTAAATAAATTATTTAAACTCACAAACCTATTTGTGTCAGCCCAGGGTTTGTTCCCAGGTTTGACTGTCTACAGAGCCATATTACACATAAAATCTTATCAAATTAAAGACTATGCAATGCTTCAAAAAGGCAAAGAATTCTAGCATTTAAAGTATCTTCCTCTGTTTCTAATTGTACTTGAGAACTTTTAAATTAACTTTTGAGTTACCTTCTAAGTTTTGATTTATTTATATAAGCAAAAGAAGATAAAAAAAAAAAGACAAATCACTTGGCACTAATTTCATACATCATTTTTAAATAATTAACTTTAACAAATTCAACGTATAATCATTCCCAAATAAGAGCTAGAAAGTCACACCAAAACATGATGCCCAAATAGCAAACATAAATATTTTTAGTTATGATAAAGCTAATGAAAAAAGATTTGGGCCAAAAAGAAAGAATCAGACATATCATCTAATTAGCACCGCATACAACTTGAAGTATTTTTTGGTGCCTCTAAAAACCAGATTAAAAGACAGTATTGTGGGGGCAGGGGAATAGTATGATTCAAAATTAATCAAAAGATAGGAAATGTAATCTAAATTAGACTCACCTGCTCAAGTCACTTTTTCCATGGTGATGATAGTGGTCAGGATGGCTGAGGTGGTAATGCTCCTGTCCACTCCACCTCTGGGGCGGCCTTTTCCAAAATCCTTCCTGAGACTGCCGAACATTTCTGTCTGACCGGTCAAAGCGGTTCATATTGTCACACTCCACTAAACAGATTCAAAAGCAAAACACTATAAACATGTACACACTCTCTAAAAGTTAACTACTTATAGCTTGATAATTAAATGCTGCAGAGAATATAAAAATGATATGCTAAAAATACCAGCCATTTATATGGGCTAATTACAACATCAACATTTCCAGAGGAGAAGTAACCAGTTCTTTTGGTGAAAACTGAACTCTACAGTATTCAAACTGAAGTAAATCATAAAACTTTCATATCACAGGCACTTAAGTAACAACGGCCTCAGTGTTTTAAAACAAGCAAATTATCCTTGTTATGAACATTATACATTTTAAACACCAGTAATCAGTTTTTAGTGGTTTTCATCATTATCACTGGCTGGTTCTGACTTCAGAATGAAAATGATCTGAAAAAACAGAAGATTTTAAGTCTAGCAGAGAACTCGTTCCCAAAAATGAACGCTACAATTAGCTTTCACTGATTTCAAGAAGCACAAATTAAGTTTTCGTCACAAACAGATCGTATTTCTTAAATTAAGCTCACAGTTTAGAAAGTAAGAGGCTTCAATCTGCCTACAGTAGAGTTTGTTCAAAAAGTCTAAAATGCCACTGAAAACAAAGCCAGTACTTTGCAGCAACAAATAGTACACTCCCTGAAATCCAAATGCCACAAAAACAAGGAAAGAATCTCCTTGAAACACCCCAAGCCTCTTCTTCACTTACCCAAACACTTTTTCCTCCAATATCTGAGCTCTCACTAGGAGAGTTACTCTGTACAAGGGAGACATTGTGTTGCCAGCTGCCTACTCAGACATAGTTGCATACAAGGCTCTGACAAACAGGCCTTCCTTCCTGCTCAACTCCCAGCCCTCCCTGTGGGAAGCAAGCCCAGTTTACCCTGTGACTCCATCTTCACTCAGTGGTTACATAGCTACTGAGTTAGGACTGTTACTAAAAATACAACCAAACACTAACTCAAGCCAGGAACAGGAAAGGTTTCTCTAGTCTGAGAATTATCACATGAGAAAGTTCAAACCCAGAATGCTCAAAATTCCTTGATAAAGACATTAGAAAGCAATGTAATCCCCAATTTTAAAAAAACTCATTACTTAAAAGATTATTTTCACTTAACCTAAAACTTGAAGTTGAAATATGAAAGTGTTTCATTACAGTACATCAGATAAAAACAAACTTCTCCACTCCAAGAAAGTAGTTAAAATAAAGTATAACTGTTTAATTCTCATAAACATTAAACTCACCGTAACATTTCTAAATGCATAATAATTTTGCATAACTTTTTAAAAGACTCTGAAACTTTATTTATAATCATTAGAGAAATCAACTTTGGGGAAAAACTATACATCTTATAGTTTTAAAATTTTTTAAAGGAAATTTTTTTAAAAAACCTTACATTTGAAATTATTTCAATTTCTTGTCATTTTATTGAGATTAATTATAATCTATTTCTTTAATTTTTTTTAAGTTCAATTACAGAAAACCTGACCATTAGATAAATAAAGGCACAGTGACCATTAATAATGAAAAAAATCAGGTGTAGAAGATGAGATCAGAAAAGAAAAATAAACTTAAAAATATCTCAGAAATAGGGATCCCTGGGTGGCTCAGCGGTTTGGCACCTGCCTTTGGCTCAGGGCGTGACCCTGGGATCCTGGGATCGAGTCCCGCATCGGGCTCCCTGCATGGAGCCTGCTTCTCCCTCAGCCTGTGTCTCTGCCTTTCTCTCTCTCTCTCTCTCTCTCTCTCTCTCTCTCATGAATAAATAAAATAAAATTTCAAAAAAAAATTTCAAAAAGGCTTAACACTGATTTTAGTTCATATTTGTATGAGAACTCAGAGACTCAGTTAAGCTCACTCAAGTATTTCTCAAGCTCATCAAGTATTTCTCGTGGCATTAAAATGTTACTTTGATTTAAGCAATTCTATACAGCTGAGGGTTAATCTGTATCTACTTTTATCTGAGATCATATTTAATTCAAAGCAAGTGAAGTTCTTCTACTCACTTCCCAAACAAATTCTGTCATAATAAAAATCTGATATGCAACTAGGATATCACCAACACAGCACATGCAGAGTAATAAGCAAATAAACCAGGCAAATAGGCCAGGAGATGGGGTTAAAAACTGTGGGAAATTAAAGTGCCTAAAATTGACATGCCATTTTTGTGTTTACTAGAGAGGTTGTTGATACTACACACAGGCTACAAATTAAAGCACCTGTATTGAAACAAGAGCTCAACCACAGGCACTATGGCAAATAAACACTGGAAACAAACATTTGCCATGACCACAAACGGCTATTGGTAGAAATGGAGATAGAGAGGCCTAAATTTTCAGATAAATGACTACTCGAAGACTCTTCAAGGGTCCTGCTTTATACACTGACCTTTGAACAATGTGAAAGAGGTATGGGACCTCCTGCATAGTCAAATATCCGTGAAACTTTTGACTCCCCCCAACTTAACTATTAATAGCGTACCATTGACTGGAAGCTTTACCAATAACACAGTCATTTAACACACATTTTGCATATTATATGTACTACATGCTGTGGTTCTTATGATAAAGTAAGCTACAGAAAATAAAATGTAAATAAAATTATAAGAAAAAATGCAGGGATCCCTGGGTGGCTCAGCGGTTTGGCGCCTGCCTTTAGCCCAGGGCATGATCCTAGAGTCCCAGGATCAAGTCCCGCGTCGGGCTCCTGGCATGGAGCCTGCTTCTCCCTCTGCCTGTGTCTCTGCCCCCCGCCCCCCCATGTCTACCATGAATAAATAAATAAATAAAACTAAAAAAAAAAAAAGAGAGAGAGAGAGAGAGATATCCCTTGATAAAGGTAAAAGAAAAAAGTAAGAAAATTAAAACAACTGTGTCTTTCAGATCTTTCCTAATCACAACTGAAGCCTAAAGTCCTTTCTCCCTTTATTCTTCCCTCATTCTATGCTCCTCCATTTTGCTCTGCCCCATCTCTCCCTTGACCTGTTTCCCTACCCTGAAGCTGGCAAGAAACCTTAAAGGCTCACTACATCTTTTAAAGTTAAACATCTTTCAGAAGAGGAAAACCCCATAAGGTTGGTCTCATTCTAAGCTGAGAGTCATGGCTATATGTTTTCTAAGGTCTAAATAAGACTGAAGCAATTTGCAGAGGAATTTAAAATACTTTCAGGAACTGATAACCCAGGATCCCTAGGTCTATTAGTTCATACGTTAGAGGAAACCCCAGGTGCAAAAAACAAAATGAAAGAGGCCAGTGTGAAGAATCTGAAGGTCACATGACTTAAGGACCCGTGATTGATTATGTAGAAGAGGAAGAGTTTTTCTTGACCCTGACAAGGCAGATTAACAGAAGGAAAGCATACAAACTTATTTAATATGATATGTGACATGGGAGCCTTCCCAGGAAATAAAGACCCAAAGAAACAGACCTATGTATTTTTATGCTAGGCTGATGAAAAGTGGTCAGTCATAGAGGAATACCATAGCTTAAGGAGTAAGAGGTAACTGCAGTAAACTGAAAGAAACCTAGCAAGCCCTATATTTTTAGGATTCTTCTTGGGAATCCCTTTGTCTTGGAATTAAGAATGTGCCTTTCCTCTGGGTATAGGGAAGGTACCTCTCAGTGAGGGTTATATGACCTCCTTCTGGGGAGGAGAGTGAGGTGGGGAAGAGGTCCAAGTCACTTTCCTGCTTCTGCCATTTTCTCAAACTCCTTGAGCTTAAAATATTCAATATACCACAGTGCCATATTTTGGGGTAATATGTACTGAACTCCCATCAATTGCATAGGAAACTAGAAGAGGTTTAGAAAAGGACTTCCAGACGCTGTCAACAAAGTCTTTATGAATGCAGACTGGGCTCTGATTCAGTTCTGTAAAGAAAGAAAAGATAAATCCACTGCAGACTTTAAGAGTAGACTAATGCCTTTAGGTAGCATTCAGGGATATATTCTGAAAGAAGTGTGACCTGTCTCTTCATGTTCTATAACAGATTTTTTTTTTTTTTTTTTTTATTTATGATAGTCAGAGAGAGAGAGAGAGGCAGAGACACAGGCAGAGGGAGAAGAGCAGGCTCCATGCACTGGGAGCCCGACGTGGGATTCGATCCCGGGGCTCCAGGATCGCGCCCTGGGCCAAAGGCAGGCGCCAAACCGCTGCGCCACCCAGGGATCCCAACAGATTTTTAAGGCAGAAATAGGATAAATATAGCCTCATTGCCAGACTTCTAATACTCAGAAAGAGTCTTAGAAAAGTGGAGAATACAATGCAAAATAAAATAATGTCCTCCACATATAACAACTAGATGCTTTCACCACAGCCAATCAAACACCAGAGAAAGAAGTCTCTCAGTATGCTTATAATAGCAGAGCATTGAAAAAACATGTATTCTGTATCACCTAAGAAATAAAAGAAAAAATAAAGGTGATTAATCAAAGTGTTCTGCAGGGGAAATCAAGTACTCAATTTCCAGTTTTACCCTTAGAAGATCTTGCAAATGTTTTATTGCTAGAGGAAGTACGGTATCAACCTTAAACCCTATATTATATAATCTTCCCCTCAGTGTCACCAAACAACTCAGTTATGGATAGTTCCAGTAACTCTCACTTCCCAAATCCTAGCCCCTAACAATCCAAGAAACATCTGACCAACAAATATTCTTTCCTCCTCTGTGTTATTACATATGCTACCTAATAGGTCATGATTTACTACACAAATGTAATTGCCACCTGAATATTCTCCTCATGGACTCTTCCTTGAAATCCCAGAAGATTCCTTATGAATAAGGAAGTCGTAACAAGCTTGTGTCCAACATGAAACCCAAACTAAAGATCTCAACAAGGTTTCAGTCTCTTGTTGGTAAAAACTCCACTGATATTGGCAGAATTAGTGATGCTGATCATACCAGCTTCAGAATGACCCATTCAAAACTCAATCCAAATTTGCTTAATAGCCACCAAAGCTAAAGGGAATGAAAATCAATAGTCAAAAGTAGATTACAAATCTCCTTTAAACCTAGTACCAGTCCTTGTAATATTCTTATCCTCCCAATCTAAAAACTCAGTGGGTGGATATAGTCATCCAGGTCCTCAGAGCTATAAAGAGAATAGTCATTCCTTACTCCCCAGTGGTACCAAAACTGAATACTATATTATGTCTGGTGCCCATGAAGGCTACATATTTTAGACCCATGTTCTGCTTTCTTCAGTGTTCAGTTAGCTCAAAACAGTCGATATCTGTTTGCCTTCTCCAAGGAAAATCTGTAATGTATGTGAGATGTTATGCCTCAAGGGTTCCCTCCTACTTTTCACAGTCCCCAATGAAGACTCAAAGACTTTAAATTTCCCTGTGATTCTAATTTTATCTAATATGAGGGTAACTTTTTGTTGTCCTCTAAAGAGGACGCAGGCTCATCTTTTAGCTCAGAAAGGGTATAAAGTTTCCAAAGAGTTGTTAAAATCTGTCAAAGTAAAATGCATTATCTAGGATGTGATTTATTCCAAGGAAGTATATCCCTCACTCCTCACTACCAGCCCTTAAGACTTCATATGAAGTCTCCTAGATCATCATCATCTCATTTTCCCCCCATAATTGTCAATGGTTTATATTTTCCCTCTGTGTTCTACAATATTTTTCCACTTGATCTTCCAGGCCACTAATTTAGATTTCAACACCAGCTATGGTTTCTGTCATCTAGTGAATTGTTCTTTTTTCTTTTCTTTTCTTTTCAAAAGATTTATTTATTTATTCATAAGAGACACAGAGAGAGGCAGAGACACAGGCAGAGGGAGAAGCAGGCTCCATGTGGGGAGCCCAATGTGGGACTTGGTACCAGAACTCCAGGATCATGCCCTTGAGCCAAAGGCAAACGCTCAACTACTGAGCCGCCCAGGCATCCTGACTGAACTGTTCTGTTGGGAAATCTTTTATAGCTCCAGAAAGCATTGTGCTGCAACTGTATTTCCTTGTGTTTTCATTATTTCCTTGGGCCACTCTAATCCTGGGAGTTCTGTTGTTTTTCCTCCCTGTTCTTCTTCCCAGATGCTGGCTTGATTTTTCCTTCTCAGTTGACTGGAACTCAGCTCTGGTTACCAGAGTACCCCAGGTGACAGCAAAACCTCGAGAAGGTGTAACAGTCTCTACCCCTATGGTAGAGTAGATAATGTTCTCAGCTCTTCATTCTCTCCTTTAGAATAATATATTCAGTGTCCCCTGTCACAGAGTTTCTCACTACAAACAGAATGCACTTCCCAGTACTACTGGTATTAGGCTTGGCCATGTAACTTGCTTTGGCCAACAGAATGTGGGCAGAAGGAACAGTATGTTGGTTCTAAGTCAGACTGTAAGAGATATTAAATTCATGTTTCTGCTCAACCTATTGTCCTGCCATCTGTCATGAGAGCAACTTGCTCCAAGTAATTCTGGTCTCAAAAGAAGAAACTAGGAGTAGACCTGAATTCAATTCCACAGCTGGAGCTGTCCTAATTAATTGCTAGTCTACAGATCCATGAATAAGGAAAATAAATGTTTATTTTGAAAGCCACTGAGATTCTGAGACTGTTACAGAGCATCCTGGCAGCACTGGGGGGGGGGGGGGGGAGAAATGACAAATGTCTAGTACCCTCAATAGCATTAGAACAAACACCTACACTCTCCGAAATATCCCTGCATTTTTCTAGCATCATGTATTAAAAGGACTTCATCACCTTCTTTGGTTTGTTCATCTCTCACCCCTGGGAGGCCTGAGAGACCAGGCAAATGTTGACTGACAGGGAATCCACAAATCTTCTGCAGCCAGCCTTCTCTCCAGAAGGATTTCCATTTCAACTAGAACCTTGCCCCAGGGACTTTTTTAGACTAGTCTCTGATTCTAGATCCGTCCTTAAGATAGAAAATCCTACAAATACTAAGTCATTGGAGGCAAGAGTACCTAAGCCCCTTTTACATACAGACCGTCTAAATCACTACTTCAGCACTTACTGGGATTCAGAGAGGAAGGCAGATTGGATTTGGGAATTAAAAAAAAATGGAGTGATTCATTCAGAAGATCACCATTTTCCCAGAATTAAGCTTTTTTTTAATTTTCAGAATTGATCTTTTAAAAAATAAAAAAATATCAACTTAACGAGTTTGGCACTGTTTTCACAAGTCAAATGATATCTGTTTCTCAAAATGTATTTCTTCTTAGAATCAAAATAAACAAAAGGAAGAAAAGTTGTATATGCACACAGAGGGGGAAAAGGACAAATCCTATCTACTACTTACTTTGTGATAGAGATATACAATTTAATTGGATCATACAGAATTATATCTAAGACCTACAAAACCAAGGTTTTAAATGTTTAAATAAGCTTGCAAATGAATCTATTTAAGATCACTTAACACTGCTTCTCAGTCTCAAAAGACTTCCTCCATTGAGATTAGGAAGTTTGTAAATAACAAATATTAAATTAACCATAGACAAGCAGCCCAACTATATATAGGTCCCTGGGGTTTCAATTTGTCTGCACTTACCATTTTCAAGAGGTGCATCCTCAGGCAGATCCACATCAAGCATAAGGTCATCGTCCTCAAGATCACATGATTCAAGATTATTCAGAATATCCTGTGAACAAAAACAGTAATAAATGCTATAACCTATTTCAAAAAATGTATCTAATCATTAGTTTTGAGAACATCTCTGTGAGTCTTAATTTACTCAATATTTGTGTTGTAAAAATCAACTTTTAAGATAAAACTTTTAACAAAAAAAAGATTCAGTTAGTTTACTTGTTAAACTATTTGTAACATCCTTCTCCTACTCTTCCTCCCACCAAGAAATTTTTAACTCATTTTTAAACTTACACAATGCTCAGTCTGCAAGATACTGTACTAAGTACTTTACTAATATTAATTCATTTATTTAATCTTCAAAATAACCCTATGATTTAATGACTAGTACAATTACTTGAAATTAATGCACAGAGAGCTAAAAGTAGGATGCAAACACAAAAAGCCTACCTCCTGAGTCCATGCTTTTTTTTTTAACCAATTTCCTTGATAATATGAGTAATTAAAAATGGTAAAGAACCTCCCAAAATTTATTCATATCTGGTGTAAGAGGTTGTGCTTTATTATATATAGGGATTGGACCACTCATGTAAAATAATGAAAGCATTTAACAACATGATTATTCCATTTCATTTCTGGTGCCAAGCCCATCTATATAGTACCACCTTCAGCACCACTACTAACTCGGCTTGGTTTGCCTTAATTTTTTTTTTTTCTATAAAAGACAAATAGGACTGGACTAGTCAAATTGGTATAAGCAGCCATTCCTGGGTTCTAGTTGTAACCTTGCCAGTTACCACCTATCTTGAGAAAAGTAATGTTTTGCTTTCAAAAATTCTTGTTCTGAAGTCTAATTAGCAAAATAAACAAAAACTAAGTTTAAAGTCAGGAACTGGGCAAGCCAGGGTGGCACAGTAGTTTAGCACCGCCTTCAGCCCAGGGCCTGATCCTAGAGACCTGGGATCGAGTCCCACGTCGGGCTCCCTGGATGGAGCCTGCTTCTCCCTCTGCCTGTGTCTCTGCCTCTCTTTCTCTCTCTCTGTCTCTCATTAATAAATAAACAAAATCTTTTAGATAAATCAGTCAATCAATAAATAATAAAGTCAGAAACTCAGTTTGACCTGTTGTCCACTAACGGATCCTTCCAATCCAAGAACCAATTCAATACTGCAAGATCTTTTGTTAGTATACATAAATAAAAAGATTAAAAAATCCACAAATTTTTAAACTAAGAAATTTTGGACTTGAAAAACTCTTATAGAGGGAGATGTTTACAATATTTATTACAGATAATATGAGTAAAATTAGAAATTGTTTCCTATGTTCAGTATTCTATACATAGTTTTCCAATTTTGTATTAATATAATGTAGGAAAAAATGCTAACAGTAATTCTGATTTACCACAACTGAAAATAATCTAGTACTCTTTAATATTCCAGATGGAATTAGATTAATAAACATTATGGAAGACAGTTTGTCAAAATTTAACTAAAACCTTTTTTAAAAAGACAAATTTTCCTTTCTAAGAAATTATCCCTCAGAAATAGATAAATGAAAAAAATATATGTGCAAAGTATGGTTATTGCAGCATTATTTGATGGCAAAAAAGTAGAAATGCCCAAGAACGGAAAAATGGCTAAACACAAAGTACAACACAGTCATACAATAGAATACTGTTTCCTTAAAAAATAATAATGAAAATATACAGACATGGAAAGATGTCAATCAGGGAAGAAAACAGACTTAGGTTGTTTCTAATCTTTGATAAATCCCTATAAGTCAAAAATAAAATAAGTAAGTCTAATTATGTATTAAGTCGATGGCATTATACTCAGAGAAATTATTTCAAGTGAGGAAAAATTTTCAAGCTATTTTCAGTAATTATATTATGGATGGTAGTACTGGTGTTATTCTGGTTGTGCATACATGAATATAAATGAAAACAGTTATACTGGTGTTTGCTGAAAAGTGGATTCTCATATTAGGAAAAAGGAAGTAAGGATGTAAAAACCAATGAAATTATATTAAAAACTCTACATTCCTGAATATAAGTGCAAAGTATTGGTGTGAACACAAAATGTTTTTAATCTTAAATGAAAAAAATACATTTTTTCCGCTGAAAAGGCCTACATATTAACTAAAAACTAGGTCTATAAAACAACATATACAGAATTATCCATTTCATGAAAAAAAATTGTATAATATGTATAGAAAAAAGCTGAAAGGAAACCAAAACATAGGTTATGGAGTTTTTCTTTCTTTTCTTCTGTTTTTGTATTAGTAACTGTATTTTCTCATTTTCTGCAATAAGCAATGACTTATTTACTAAAAAAATCATATCCCCTATATAAACATTTGGCTCTTGTGTATGTATAAGTATGTATGAAACAAAAAATGCTGGGTGCCCCAAGCCAGCTCTAATAACTAAGGACACAGCAAAGAATCAAAGGCAATAGAGAACCTTGTTTTCTTAATCCAGAGCAGGTCTTGGCTTGCTGAGACACACCAAACAGCAAAAGCAGCACTGCTACCACCATCAAAAAGATGTTCAACTTTTAATAACTAACTACACCCTACATTTATTTTGTGTGGTTTTCTGTAGGTTTCATTTTATAATGAAAGGTTTAAAAAATTAGTCTTAAAGAATGAGCCTTAAAGTGATGGAATGATTATGATATCACTCTGAGAACGTCCTAAGAAAGCCCACTGGAAAAGGAAGGAGAACATAGTTAACAGTAGTTACAACAGGGAGGAAGACAGGGAGAGAAAACCATCCAGATTTATGCCTCAAGTTAACACTCACCAATAAATCATTGCCTATGTTTCATAAATTTATCTGGTTACACGGGAAAATGGTCTATAACATGGGGGGGAGGGGAAAGAAGACTGCATATATACAGTATGACTTCATCTTCAATGCTAAAAAATACATTTAAACATCAGGATGGTAATAAACCAAAGGATTATTATAATTTTCCATTATGTGAAATAGTATGTACTATGCTTTTTATATTCCTTTTTATTTTTCTGTAGTAAGCTTTTATAATATGCAAAACTTCATGCTGGAAAAGTCTACCTCTCTTGGTATCAGCAAGGGTTCAAACCACACAAATATAGCCTGAGTGTGGGAACCCATCAATCTAGCACATCCCTTAACCACAATAAAAACCAAGCCAGCAGCCCCTCTTAGCTTCATTCAAACTATTCCACTCTGGGTACCTGTCCTGCTCTTCCCAGAAAGCCTCATTATGTGAGTAATAAATCTTTTCATATCTTCTTAGTGCATATGTGGCACCAATAGTTTTGACATCTAAACAAACAGGGAAGTTGACTCTGTCCCTCCATGTGGCAACTGCAAGACACACTCCCTGTAACTCAACACATATAAAAACCTATATATGCAAGGCATGGGATATACTCATAAAAAATAATCCCTGTCTTTGTCAAGAGTAGAGCCAAACTACTCTATGATATCGCTGCCTGGGCATCCATTTTGTGTGGCCAAGGGATCTGCAGGGACCTTGAACCGAAACCAACCCCTCCGGTGACTGCATGCCCTAGGTAATAACCCCAGCATCAGAAGCAAATGTGAATTGCTGATACGACTTCCTCAACAGCCCTTGTGAACAATAATCACCCTGTCTCCCAGGGTCTTCCTTTTGTGCACCCCTTAGACCCTTGTGGGGCTTACCAAAATCCTGCTCTTTTTGGTTTGAATTGACCAATCCAGACTTAGTTCAGGAATCCCAAAGCACTCTAGTCATCAACCCTAATAAAGTCACAAACCCCAGATCCTGTGACTCTCCCTATCTACACTGGTATGGCCCCTCCAGGCTGCCAACTACCTTCCTTCAGAACCTGTTAATAATAAACTTCTCTATTTCAATTTCCCTTATGGTCTTTTATTGAATTGGGGTTCACTATCCAACACTCCAGGGCTCTATTTTACAAATGTTAATTTAACAAATTGGCAACAGCACTCCAAGGCTACTTGTTTTCCCTCAGACAGACAGTTCCTTCACAATATGGTAATGGCTCAATTACTAGGAAAACACAATGGATGGATATCTAAGTCTTGAAATGTCAGAGAAAATCTAAAATCAAGTAAAGTCAGAGAAAACCTAAAGAACAGGCATATATGGCCTCTAGAACATGGAAGAGGAGAATGCCTTCTGAATAAACACTATGCTAAGAGCAAGGAAGTAAAAAGCATAATGTTACTATTCTAAATGATACCAAATTTGTTTTTCAAAGACAAAAAGTAAATACTTAGATTTTGCAGGCCCAAGGACAAAATCAGCGAATTATACAGGTATTTATATAACCATTTAAAGTGTAACCACCTAAAATGTAAAAAAACCTTATTTTTTAGGTGGTGAAAAACAAGGTAGTTGGTCAGATGTGACTTACATAACACAGTTTGCTGACCTGCTCAATGTAAATAATTGGAAGTAGTTCGTTAATACCTGTTATGGATTTAGTGTTTGTATTTTCCCAAAGTTCTTATATTGAAGCCCTAGCCCACAATACGAGGGTATGTAGACATAAGGTCTTCAGGAGGTTATTAGTTTTAGACTGGTTCATGATGGTGGGAACCCTATGATGGGATTAGCATCCTTACAAGAAGAGAAAGAAACCAGAGCACACACTCTCTGTCTTCCCGTCATGTGAGTATATCCTGAGAAGGTGGCTGTCTGCAAGACAGGAAGCGGGTCTTCACTAGGAAATGAATTTGCCAAACCTTGATCTTGGACTTCTACACTCCAAAACTGTAAAATAAATAACTGTTGTTTAAGCCATTCAGTCTACAGTATTTTGTTATAGTAGCCCTAGATGATTAAGACAACACTCACAGAGTATAACAGGAAAAGACAGAGAAGTAGATCTACATTACGAACAACTATTTAGGACAAATTAAGACCCTGGATTTTATGTCAATGACAGGGGTATGACTGATGAGTTTTCACAAGTGGTAAACTGAGATTTACATTAAAGAAATATTATCTTGGCTGCTGTGTACAAAATGAATTTAAGTAGGAAAGATAAAACAGTTTT